TCCCTGATCTATGCAAAAGACGTTACTTCAGTAACATCTGGGGCTAGCCAGGGTCCACACAGCTTTAATTCCCGTAGCTATGCAGAAGACGTTACTTCTGTAACGTCTGGCGCTAGCCAGGGTCCACACAGCTTTAATTTGGTATTTGTTTGTTTGTGTGTTTGTGTGTTTGTGTCACGCCTGGAGCTATCCCGTATCTGTCATGTATATGTCCTGTATCTGTGACTACATCGGCACTACGCTCATACAGGATTGTACATAACAGCTGGCTAAAATATTTGCTGGCTCCCGTATCTGTCCCGTACCGTCCCGTTTAAACAGCGGGCCCATAGCCAGCAATCGCATGTCACCACGTACATTGAAAATCAACATAATTTTGCGAATCGACCTTTTTTCAGGATCACTTTTCAACGGGGACGAAGCAAAGTCGGCCGAACGAAGCCTAGAGGAAGAAAATCACCCTCTCCACTTCACCATCACGATACTGACATAGATACGAGATGAAACAACTAAAAAATACACAAGAAAACTGTACGGCCATCATCGCGCTTTGGTCTGACTTTGGTCTGAGAATTTCTATCACGATCAAACATGTACGAGGAGCACTCAAAAATAAGCCACAGACGTACCTTACTCCCTCTCTACTCCTTTTTCAAGGCACAAAAGTCGACTCTCCACTTTCAAACCAGGAACCAGACATACCAGTGGTCCTTTTCAGCTGCTCCACGAGCGCAGGAAAGGTTCACCAAGGGGCGCAGAGCAGCATCCATTCCAGAAAAATAGCTAAAATATGAGTGAGACTGCATGCCTGAGTACATGAGTACATGTATGAGTACATGCAGAAAATAGTCAATTTCAGCGTTTCTGCTCCAAACAGCAACTAGCTTCGACTAGAAACAAAGATTACACCAAAGGATCAAACAACAACCATTTGCTGCAGTTTTTTTTTGCAGATGGCTTCCTTGTGCTTGGCCCAGCACGCCAAAAATCACACCCGGGAGGAGTACAAAAATTACAACTCTCAGATGTCAGGTTGCTGGCCATGCACAAAATTCGTCGTAGTATGTATACGACTCCCTGATGTACAGGGAGATTTGGAAAGAAATAGGGCGACGAGGAGGAAATGAAATTAGAATGGACGTTAGTTGCCGAATAGGTAATAGGATCCGTCAGCAAAAACATACTTTGGAAGAGAGATCCCGTCGTCTCCAAAATAAGCGCCGGTCACAGGAGACGTCGGAAGAGAGATCCCGTCGACTCCAGAACGCCCGTGATCGGCAGAGTCAGCGCCGGTCCCAGGAAACGTCAGGACAGACATCTCGTCGAGTCCAGAACGGCCGTGATCGGCAGAGTCAGCGCCGGTCCCAGGAAACGTCAGGACAGACATCCCGTCGACTCCAGAACGCCCGTGATCTGCAGAGTCAGCGCCGGTCCCAGGAAACGTCAGGACAGACATCCCGTCGACGCGCAGAAAACGAAATCTGCAGCCTCTTTTGTGGTCGCACAGGATACGTATTTTTGTATTATTGTATTGTATCGTAATGTATGGAATATAATTTTACCTCATTGGCTCAACAGGTCAATGTATTACTACAAAAGGCCAGAAAATCCAATGTCTGTATTAAAATCAACTAATTTTCGCTGGCTATTTAATTTCGCTGATTTCGCCGCTTGGTACCAACCGGCCAAAGTAAATCGCAGGCCAAAGTTTGTCATAGAGGCAAATGATGCATGATTGAGCAATGGATGCATGTTAGAGCAAAAAATACCGATCGATTTATTTTTGAAAACTCCAATCGGCCAAAGTTTAATGACGGCGAAAAGTTGGGTTTCTCACCGGCCAAAATTTCTCATTGGCCAAAATTTGAAATAGATAAAAAGAAAAGAAGGAGCAAACCAAAAGTGGATGAAATAAGGGAAATAAAACAACCCGCAAAAAAATCTGCAAATACTTTTGCCTAACTCATATTCAAAATGTTGAGTCTCCTCCATCATTACACTGCGCTCTTTAGCCGACTAGACCTTCCTGCACACAACCATCACCATTGCGAGGACACTTCCGTAGACGATATTGTTAAAATCCTTCAGACAGCTGTTTCGCTAATACATAGCTCATCAGTGAAGGTAGATGTTGAGTGATTAGAAAATATAGACCAAACTGCTATTATATAGGGGGTTTCCACATACAAAACTGGCATAGCTGAGGTAATAACGCGGGAAAAGGAACTCGTCTTGTCCCTCTGTAATCATATGATAGGTGCGCCGTTAGCGTCAGAGCAAGAAGAGGGACAAGATGAGTCGAGGGACAATCCTGAGGACGCAATACCATACGACCAACTGTTTGTTTCTACCAGCGTTGTTGTACCGTCTACACAGCTCTGACGATGATATACTGGGCGAATGCCGCGGGGCCTCCCAGCGTGTCAGCGGCAGTGGGTGATGGGCAGATAACAAGGTAGCTTGCGGACAATATCGGTGGCATGAAGCCTAGTGACTGCCAAGCGTCTTGGCGCGATGGGCGAGCAGTACAGTGTCATGCCCCAGGGGCTGATGTGGCTGTCGACGTCGGTGGGTCGTGAGGTGCGTTCGCAGACCTTCATGGCGCTCAGACAACTGCAATACTAGTACACAGACTCTCACTAGCTACATAGTACTCTGATTCTGGCACGTTATTTCTGCATTGAATAGTGATTGATTTTCCGCGCCGAATTTCCGACGCTGCATGCATGTCCAATGCGCGTCAACAGTACTTCACACTTTCCTTTTCCCGCGTTATCATGTCAGCAATGCCAGTTTTGTATGTGGAAACCCCCTATATAGTAGCAGTTTGGTTTATATTTTCTAATCATTCAACATCTACCTTCACTGATGAGCTATGTATTAGCGAAACTGCTGTCTGAAGGATTTTATCAATATCGTCTACGGAAGTGTCCTCGCAATGGTGATGGTTGTGTGCAGGAGAGTCTAGTCAGCTAAAGAGCGCAGTGTAATGATGGAGGTGACTCAACATTTTCTACAATGGCCGAGAGCTCTGTCGCACCCTGTAATAATAACTCATATTCAAACTGATTGAAACGTTTTTGCAATATAATGATGTGGCCAATCAACGGAAAAAAACATTTCCATCAGTTCCAATAACATGTACAATGAGCTAGGCAAAAAAGCATAAAAGCATAGCGTAGGGCCCTGAGCTTCCAAGCTCTCTCGTTCCGTGTTTGTTTGTTTGTTTGTGCCGTCGGCATGCCTGGCGCTATCCCGTACCTGTCCTGTACCATACCATCAAAGACAGCTGGCCATGGCAACAATATTCAAATAGGGCTTTGAAATGTAAGATCATAACGTGAAGCAACTTGGAAGAATGAGTATGTATGCGAATTGTATCGGGGAATGCATGCAGGGCGATAGTGCGTGTTCGAATCCTAGGTTATGTCTTGAAAATACAATAGGAGAAATGAAAAATTTATAACATTTTGCCTAGGTCATCAAGGTGGCAGACGGTGTAGTATTACCCTCGACTGCAAAGAGAAAGTTTGATGTAGCCAATCAATGGATAAAAACATTTACATCAGTTCTAATAACATGCATGGTGAGCTAACCAAAAAAGCATAGCGTAGGGCTTTGATCTTCCAAGCTCTCTCGATGGGACCGTTGAATATGTAAAAGCGTGTAGAGGTGTTGGTAGTTGGCAATGTGTGGGTGTGGCTATACATGGTAGTTGGTAATGTGTGGGTGTGGCTATACATGGTAGTTGGTAATGTGTGGGTGTGGCTATACATGGTAGTTGGTAATGTGTGGGTGTGGCTATACATGGTAGTTGGTAATGTGTGGGTGTGGCTATACATGGTAGTTGGTAATGTGTGGGTGTGGCTATACATGGTAGTTGGTAATGTGTGGGTGTGGCTATACATGGTAGTTGGTAATGTGTGGGTGTGGCTATACATGGTAGTTTACCACAGTGAAAACGTGATTGTATTGATTTTACATAATAATATTTAAACTCGGATACTGAGTCAGTAATAATATGTAAAAAGAAGAAGAAACACATGAGAACGAGTTACGCATAACTCGTTCTCATGCGTTTCTTCTCTTTTTTACATTTTTATTACTGGCTCAGTATCCGAGTTTAAATTTTGCACACCTGATGAGCCGTCACTAACAACACAGCGAAACGTACGTCGTGTGGAACTACTTGTTATTGTAGTCAACTCGACCACAATAGTGCCATGCATGAGGAGTACCGTTAGATATTGGCGTCCGGTTTTGTACAATTCGTTTTCGCAAAGCTTTCCCTTTCCTTTATCTTCGATATTGCTGACCTTCCCAAGTTGGGTGGTGTGTTGCTTTGCTGCTTCTAATTGTAATCAGACCGCTTTGTCATGTTATTAACTGGTCTCATCATCGTCCTGTAACAGTCGGCATTCTTTGTTGCCGCGGGACGTAGCTTGTGCACATTTTCGCTGCGCTCACCTTCCCCTCTTCGGTCCTACGCAACCATGAACCTTCCAAGTTGGAAGGATGTTGGTTTGCGCACTGGAGATGTGTTAGAGCTAGGTCTCGGGTCGCTGAATGTCTCAGTGGCCTGTCAGTTTTGTGCCCTATTATCCAACTTTCTGACCGTTTATCATCTCGTTACAGTCGTGGATAGTTGCTGCATAACTCGTTCTCATGTGTTTCTTCTCTTTTTTACATAATTGATTGATTATTAATATATTTTTCAAGGATTCTCCAGAACCAAATGGATTCCTATCAAGGGGAGGCTCCTGGGGAAAGCAAGTGAAGGTGGCTGATATGAAAGAGGGAGGAAGGGACATGATAAAGTGAAAAATTAAAAATAATGCAAACAGGAACAGTAGAAGCTAGTTGCAAAATTTCGGTATAACTTCCACAGAATACTTGTGATTCAGATTGTGTCTACACACAGCAACAGTAAATCGGCCAGCGGATGTCAGACAGCGGATTTCTTCTGGCAGCTTATTCCAGTGTGTGTTGCTGTGTTTCAGGTATCCGTTTGGTGACAACATTGGTGAAGGCTATTGTTACCAATGGAGCAAGAGTCCAGCAAGGATGAGAGCTCCGGCCGCCAATCACAACAACCTGCTGGTGGCACTGGTGAGTGAAATGATTGCTTTAGCTTGTGGAGGAACAAAACTGTGGGACTTGATTTCAAGGGTCATTGCACAGTCCACTGCTTGTATTGGCGTTCCTTTGAAGCAAGTCGGACATATCCATTCGTACGGCTCCATATGAGATGCAGTGGAACTCGGATAAGAGGTACTGCCTCGGTAATGGAAAAACGAACTTAGTAGAGAGGTTATTCAGAACAAACGTTCGCATGGATTTTCTTGTCTGGGCTTGCGACTATTTCTGCGAATGTTCACGCGAAGTTTGTGTTTTCCATGATTTTCGCTCCAAAATAAATACGAGTGCACTCTTGCTTATTTGAGAAGCCGTCTTCAGTAGATCTACCGAGCTTCATTTGACTGAAAATGTATTTGCTACGAGTGGCTGCACTCTGAGACAAGAGCTTTTGACCCACAGATAAATATGTTGGCCTGTGCCACTATCCGGCGCATCAACATCTGCAAATTCCAAAAAACATCACCGACTCTGAGAAAATGAGCAGACAGGAGATCGGAGATGGTTACGGAGATGAAGCAGTGTGGGCTGCCATATTGGAAAACCAGTACCAGCAACCAAGCCAAGAGTAGATCTTCTGGATTGTGAAAGATGAAGCACAAAACATTGCATGAGAGTGGTTCGCCATTCCACTGCACTGGTCCTGGACCGTTTTCCCTTGTTGCTAGAACCCTAGCAGCAGTACCCTGTCAAAGAGATAAACAAGACGGCTGGCAAAATGACCCCTGACTACAACATCATACATCCACCTGCACACTTGCCTAGACAAAGACAGTTTGGGGAATGTCATTACAACTAACATCACTAGGTAGTTCTTCAACAGCCTGCGTGTCTGCAAGTGTCAAGGTGTGTGGGTATGTGTGATGCACTAAGTATGCATGTGCATCACAACACAATGCTTGCAATCCACTGCTCACTCTTTTCCTTTCATAATAGTGGTACTATGTTGTGCAGTGCACATAACCGACTTACAGAAACCTATCCCCAGTCAAGTTCGTGTACCAGAAAGCAGTTATCTAGGTCTGTCGGTGCTGAACACACTTTACAGTTCTATATTGTCACTGCTATATCACTATTAGAGGCTAGCTGGCTTTGATGTAGTTCAGTCAAACCTTGCGACCTACGTCCAACAGATGATGACTTCGCCAAGCAAGTGATTCATTAGTTTTCAAAGATGTCATGTTGACAGATACATGTTTAGCAGAAGAAGATGCTGCGTTCCCTGTCCCAGTATTTACTTACACACCATGCAATCCCAGTATTTACCTACACACCATGCAATCCCAGTATTTACCTACTCACCATGCAATCCCAGTATTTACCTACACACCATGCAATCCCAGTATTTACCTATACACCATGCAATCCCAATATTTACCTATACACCATGCAATCCCAGTATTTACCTACACACCATGCAATCCCAGTATTTACCTACACACAATGCAATCCCAGTATTTACCTACACACCATGCAATCCCAGTATTTACCTATACACCATGCAATCCCAGTATTTACCTACACACCATGCAATCCCAGTATTTACCTAAACACCATGCAATCCCAGTATTTACCTACACACCATGCAATCCCAGTATTTACCTACACACCATGCAATCCCAGTATTTACCTATACGCCATGCAATCCCAGTATTTACCTACACACCATGCAATCCCAGTATTCACCTATACACCATGCAATCCCAGTATTTACCTACACACCATGCAATCCCAGTATTTACCTACACACCATGCAATCCCAGTATTTACCTACACACCATGCAATCCCAGTATTTACCTATACACCATGCAATCCCAGTATTTACCTATACACCATGCAATCCCAGTATTTACCTACACACGATGCAATCCCAGTATTTACCTACACACCATGCAATCCCAGTATTTACCTACACACCATGCAATCCCAGTATTTACCTACACACCATGCGATCCCAGTATTTACCTATACACCATGCAATCCCAGTATTTACCTACACACCATGCAATCCCAGTATTTACCTACACACCATGCAATCCCAGTATTTACCTACACACCATGCAATCCCAGTATTTACCTACACACCATGCAATCCCAGTGTTTACCTACACACCATGCAATCCCAGTATTTACCTACACACCATGCAATCCCAGTATTTACCTATACACCATGCAATCCCAGTATTTACCTACACACCATGCAATCCCAGTATTTACCTACACACCATGCAATCCTAGTATTTACCTATACACCATGCAATCCCAGTATTTACCTATACACCATGCAATCCCAGTATTTACCTATACACCATGCAATCCCAGTATTTACCTATACACCATGCAATCCCAGTATTTACCTCTACACCATGCAATCCCAATATTTACCTATACACCATGCAATCAGTTTCCTCTGAGACAAAAATGCGATAATACTCATAAAAAGGACACACTTCAGGCTCATTACAAACATCTTGAAAGTTTTTGTCTTCACAAGTATACTTTCAAGCCTTCTCATCAGGTGAAATACAGGCAAGGGAAAAGGAGCAGGAACAGTGGATTAAATACAGTAAGAAGGTGGTAAAACAGCCCAAAAAAAAGAAAGAAAGAAAGAAGATAGCTAAAGTAAACAGCGAAAATTGCAATAATGACACAAAGGTGCAAATGCGAGAAAACTCAATAAGCGTGACATGTAGTGCGACAACAAGAGACAACCACTGGACATACATGTAACTAACGAGGTTTTGACGACCTACCTAACAGCCTAAGTGTGAATTTGATTTGTTTCTGCTTGCAAAGGTTGGGTTTCCTTGTGTGGATGTATACAGCTTCCAAAACATTCAGCAATCTAGCACTGCGTACACGTGACACAATCGAAAAAACAATCATCTGAATACACAGCACGACAATCAGGATGCTCAAACAAATGACTAGCAATGGACGACTCATACTTATCAGAACTAACATCAGAACAATCAGCATGTGCGGTGGACACATCCGATTTCAAATGGCTAGTCGAGTGGACCCTAGCCGTTGCCTCTGTCTGTACTTTAGTCGCTGCCATCGCTGCCGTTGCCGATCTTGTCAAAAACTTTCCAGATGTTTGTAATAAGCCTGACGTGTGTCCTTTTTATGAGTATTAACACCATGCAATCCCAGTATTTACCTACTCACCATGCAATCCCAGTATTTACCTACACACCATGCAATCCCAGTATTTACCTACACACCATGCAATCCCAGTATTTACCTACACACCATGAAATCCCAGTATTTACCTATACACCATGCAATCCCAGTATTTACCTACACACCATGCAATCCCAGTATTTACCTACACACCATGCTATCCCAGTATTTACCTACACACCATGAAATCCCAGTATTTACCTATACACCATGCAATCCCAGTATTTACCTACACACCATGAAATCCCAGTATTTACCTACACACCATGCAATCCCAGTATTTACCTACACACCATGCAATCCCAGTATTTACCTACACACCATGCAATCCCAGTATTTACCTATACACCATGCAATCCCAGTATTTACCTACACACCATCCAATCCCAGTATTTACTTACACACCATGCAATCCCAGTATTTACCTAAACACCATGCAATCCCAGTATTTACCTACACACCATGAAATCCCAGTATTTACCTATACACCATGCAATCCCAGTATTTACCTACACACCATGAAATCCCAGTATTTACCTACACACCATGCCATCCCAGTATTTACCTACACACCATGCAATCCCAGTATTTACCTACACACCATGAAATACCAGTATTTACCTATACACCATGCAATCCCAGTATTTACCTATACACCATGCAATCCCAGTATTTACCTACACACCATGCAATCCCAGTATTTACCTACACACCATGAAATCCCAGTATTTACCTATACACCATGCAATCCCAGTATTTACCTACACACCATGAAATCCCAGTATTTACCTACACACCATGCAATCCCAGTATTTACCTACACACCATGCAATCCCAGTATTTACATACACACCATGCAATCCCAGTATTTACCTGCACACCATGCAATCCCAGTATTTACCTACACACCATGCAATCCCAGTATTTACCTGCACACCATGCAATCCCAGTATTTACCTATACACCATGCAATCCCAGTATTTACCTAAACACCATGCAATCCCAGTATTTACCTGCACACCATGCAATCCCAGTATTTACCTATACACCATGCAATCCCAGTATTTACCTGCACACCATGCAATCCCAGTATTTACCTATACACCATGCAATCCCAGTATTTACCTATACACCATGCAATCCCAGTATTTACCTATAAACAATGCAATCCCAGTATTTACCTATACACCATGCAATCCCAGTATTTACCTATGCACCATGCAATCCCAATATTTACCTATACACCATGCAATCCCAGTATTTACCTACACACCATGCAATACCAGTATTTACCTACACACCATGCAATCCCAGTATTTACCTTTACACCTTTCAATCCCAATATTTACCTATACACCATGCAATCCCAGTATTTACCTATACACCATGCAAACCCAGTATTTACCTACACACCATGCAATCCCAGTATTTACCTACACACCATGCAATCCCAGTATTTACCTACACACCATGCAATCCCAGTATTTACCTATACACCATGCAATCCCAGTATTTACCTACACATCATGCAATCCAAGTATTTACCTACACACCATGCAATCCCAGTATTTACCTACACACCATGCAATCCCAGTATTTACCTACTCACCATGCAATCCCAGTATTTACCTATACACCATGCAATCCCAGTATTTACCTACACACCATGCAATCCCAGTATTTACCTATACACCATGCAATCCCAGTATTTACCTATACACCATGCAATCCAAGTATTTACCTACACACCATGCAATCCCAGAATTAAACCAATACACCATGCAAT